CCAGAGCAAGCCATTATCTCTCCTGAAGCTGTGTGTGCAGGCAAGGTGTGTGGGCTGTGGAGCTGGGCACTAGCCACAGCAAGTTAGAATCCTCTGTAGAGACGCAGTGTGACATGATGTATTGCCCTCCCCAGGCCAGCAGTCCTCCACTTACACCAGAATTCTGCTTCTCAGTGGTATTAGTCCTGAGGGCTCTCCTTTCTCCCCAGGTTACCTTGAGAAGAAACCCAAGAACAATTTCCGGGACTTCATCCCAGTTGTTCTGAGCAGCCGGACACGCAGTCAATCAGGTTGGTAGCTGCAAAAGGTCAAAGAGACCAGCCTCTGCTAGGGGGTTTCATCTAGTAGAATGGCTGAACCAAGATGCCCTTGTCTGTCAGGCACTGCGAGTCCTGCATTTGGCTGTCAGGAGCAGGGAACTTTTCCCTGAACTGTTTGCTGGGCCTTAGGGGAGCGTGTCCCTACTAATCTGGTCCTGTTGGGATTTTTGGGATCGGAAGGTTTTGTTGGGGTGCCAAAGAAGAGCTCTTGTTTCTTAGCTGGGAGAGACTCTTAATGGATGCTGCTTCCCCTTTGTGTAGGGAGGGTGTCTTAACAGCTAGAAATGCCTCTTGCGTATTCCTGCAGGAAGTGCTGGTGGCTCCTCTGCTAGCATGACAGGAGAATGTGATGTGACCGGCCAGGAGATCTTACCACTGCTGGAGGATGAGCAGGAGGAGGAGGAGAATGAAGAGGCAGAGCCATCCTTGAAACACCGCAAACTGAGGAAATCCCATAGGACTTCTCGTTATCACAGCCGCAGAGCCAGAGACCAGTCTCTGTCAGAGAGAAGTAGCTGCCACCTGAGGAGGACTCGGGAGCTGCCATGGAGAGTGGAGTCACCGAGACAGCTATGGGACCTCAATGAGGAGGAAGAGGAGGACAGCCACATCAAGAGGAAGAAGAGGAGACGGCAGAAAAGTCGGAAATACCAGACAGGGGAGTACTTGACTGAACGAGAGGAGGAGGAACACATGAGCCTCTCCCACAAGAGGCGGAAATTGAAAGCAGGTACTAGGCCTGGCCAGGGGAAGGGGGTCTCTGTTCCATCTGCTTGTTCAGCACATGCTTTTTCAGGCAGGGATGGTGTTCCAGTGCTGTTGCCAGAGTCCTGCCTTAGAACCCAAGCCCCTGGGGTCGTGGATGCATGTTCTGCTCTCCAGGGCTTATCTCCAGTACCACTGTATTACCACTACAATTAGCTGCCTACCAACTTTTGGCTCCTCTGTTTCAGGGGCATAGAACTTACATTACACAACAGTGTTAATTCAGCTCTGGCCCTACCATTCGGTGTACATTGGGCTGAGGAGGGGAGTAGAGGAGGTTGCCCAGAGCAATTGGGCTGGGCCTGTGTGAACTCTACAGAAAGGTTTCCAAAGATAGTGCTGTACATGTCTAAAGTAAAGGGAATTGGGAGCATCACAGTTCAAATCAACTTCTGTACTCTTTGATTTTTATATACAAGTAACTTCTGAAGCTTACCCAGTAGAGCACAGGGGAAGTTTTGTCCAGCAGGAGCTCTGGAGAGGGTGGTTGGGAGCCAGGAGCAGGATGATGTCAAGCAAAGGAGCTGGTAGTGAAATCGTTTAATCCCAATTCACATATGGGAGTTGCTTCCTGCCCCAGCTAAGTTGTTGCCTTGGTTTTTTAGTTATCACAACCTGGGACTCTGGTTGAGCCAGCGACCTAGATTCTGGTGAGTGTCAGTAGCTCCCCGTAATTACCCATTAAATACCCAGGAGCTACCCAGTAGCTTCTGGGTATTTTGAAGTGTCTGAGGCATGTGGCCACCTGTCCCTATTGTGCTGCAGAGGTACTTTTCAGAACTTTGGCAATAATTGAATGTTGTTAGCTTCCAAGGTTGTGGAGCAGCTTAGCCAGTGTCTAAGCAGTCCTGCTGGTACTTTCTGACTTTGGTTGTAAGTGTCTGTCATGGGACTAGTGATATGAAAGGAAATGCTCCTATCATTAAACCAGGGAAAGTGCCTCTCCAGAATGTGCAGTAACTAGTACTGCCCTAGGGCATGGGAGGCAGAAGAGTGTTTTGGCCCCTCAAGAAGTTTATATGTGAATTATGGCTTGTGAGACAGGGAGCAAGTCAGATAGCGATAGTGGTATTTGTGTACTTGCCAAGCAAGCAGTCCAGGCCAGTTTGAAGGTTAGATACCAGGAGCTGACAAGAGTTGGGCTTGTTCAATGCTTGGATTGAGCTCACACAAAGTCAGAATGTTATAGAAAGTGGTGCTGGTGATTTGGGAAGGAGCATTCTTCACTCATCTTTGTCCTGAAGCTGTGTCACAGCATGATGCTATTGGGTACTGTGCTTCTGAAACCAGCTTCTTTCCTATGGTTCATGTAAACCTGGGTGCTGACCGGTAGTGCTCATTAGAAATAAGGATAGGATGCTTTATCAAAACTTAAGGACATTAACAAGGTATTGTGGTGCCTAGTTTTCCCCTGCCCCCCCTTCTCCCCCCCCTCAGTAGTTTCACTTGGTTATTTTGTTTCTTGTGTTAACTTGCCCCGCAGTTCCTTGCTGAACACTTAAATGGTGGAATTATATGTTTGGAAGGAACATCAAAGGTCATTTAGTTCAATCAGTGCTCCTGTGATACCTGAAGTGAGCGGAAAGAAAGTAAGGAGTTAAATACAAGCTCACTTTGTGCAACCTCTTTTTTGTGTTGGGTACAAGCGCTCGCACAGGCTGGATAGCTAGTCTAGAGTTTTATAGTGTCACCTGTCACTGGTACATAGATGCCTTCCACATAAGATCAGCAGCAAAATCCTGGCTAGACTTCATGGCATTTCTGGCCCTTCTCCCTTTACCTGTTCCATTAGTTGTGGTATATGGAGGAGTGGGGACTAAAAGGGGCTGTTTGAACCGTGTGTGTCACTTTTTATGTAAAGGCTTTTTAAAAGAGGAAGGTCTTGCAATATTTCCTAAAGATGGTCAGCCTCTGGATTCACCTGATCTCTGGAAGACTGTCATAGCCACATCCCCTTAACCATTACCTACCAGTATTCTCTATCAAGAATGATTGGAACCACTGTAGGCTTGGAGCACCTACCCCTGCTGTGTCAAGTAGGTGCATTAATGGCTCCTTACCATCCACTTGCAGAGATGTTCCATGGTATGAGCGTGGCCAGGATTAAGGTAGCATTGTAGCAATCAGGTTGTATCCTGGTCTGGACACTAATTTTGAGACATCCAGGATTTTGGTTGAGGTCATGTGTTGTTGGTACTGGGTGGTTACAGGTAGAGACCATCCTGTTCACCATGTATTATTACCCTGAAACAGCAGTATTTTGCATCATGCCCACTGCATATAGACTGGAGCCTTGACCCTTCCCTATCCCAACTCCCCACTACTGTCAAGCTGACAGTGTTTCACATCCTCCTCCTTTCTCATGTGCAGTCTATGTCCAATTCCGCAAACAGTCCTCTTCCAAGCACCCTTATCCTGAATGTTTAATTTGCAATATTTAAATACTACAGCAATGACTACACTAAAAACTTAGGTAGAATAAAATAAAGATGGGCAAACTGCTAGGTGACAGTACAAAGCACTTTGGCAGTGGGAATTTGATGTGAGGAAGTAGGAAGTAGAGCAGGGTGGTCAATTATTTGGGTCTGCAGGCCACATAGGGAGTTTTGGTGAGCTGTCCTGGGCTGGGTCAGAACAATGTCTATCTCCCTCCCCGACACACCTGTACTATTCCTGGGCTTTGCCCTGGGCCCTGTGCAGGATGGGGCTGTGGATGTGTGGAAAGCAGCATTGGGAATGATACTGGCATGTCGGGCTGGGGCAGGGATCCTGGGCTAAGCAGCAGTAGCCTGCAGAACCCAAACAGTAAGTGGCGGCTTTGGGCTTCGGATCGGGTGTTGGGAGCTGAAGGGTTTTAGAGCAAGCAGAATGCAAAGGACTTCTGCCAGCTCTGCAGTCCCCGCAGGGGCTCACCTCTTTCTGCAGACACCCCAACTCCTGGCATAGCATGGAGCTGAGCATTAACCCAACCTGAATGACACTGGGAGAGACCTAAATAGGCACCATTTGCAGCCCTGGGGGCAGCTGAAAGGAGTTGAGAGGCAACAAAGGGCTGAATGGAAATGAGAGCTTTGTGGTGGGTTGGGACTTGGGAGGTAGCAGAGCCACCGCCAAGGTGAGGAGCAGTGGAAGGCCTGGGCTGCAGGGAGGGAGAGCACAGGTCGGGCAAGGTTGCATGGGGCACATTGGGTGGTAAGTGCCAGGCGGGAGCCACACAACGGGGACCATGGCTGGAGACAATATTAGTAGGGGTAATCGGGAGCAGCAGCTCTGCAAATGCAGCCAGTCACTGCTGGGCTCCTGTCCCAAGGCACCCAGCATGGGGTTGCTCCCTGCAGCCCATGTTGGGCTCTGATGCTCCTCCCTCTGATTACTGGGCCAGGTGGGTGAAAGCTGTGCCTTGGTGCTGGGGCTCTAGCTCAGAAGCCAGCAGTTTTTTTAACTGAATATAAGCCTCCACTATTTTGGCAGGCATGCCTAGTGCCATTGATTATCCCAGCTTGGGCTGCCCTCTGCATCTGTGCTGGACAGGACTGAGGAACCTGTAGTGGGCCAGACAGAATCCCTCAGCGAGCTACTGTATTTTCCCATCCCTGCAGTAGAGGCTACAGTTGCATTTTTTTAATACACTTTACTGTTTTCCGAATTAACTGCCTCAACTGAGCAAAGAGATGTTGGCATTATTCTACCCAACACCTCTACTTAGTGTCCTGCTGCATTCAAAACAGCAAACAGGGTGATGAGAAGGAATGGGATGAAAAAAACCCACAGGGAATGTTAAGCCACTGTAAATCAACATTAGCGATCACTTAAAGTATTTGTTTAGCTCTGGCCATTACCCTATCTCTAAAATGATGTTAAGGGGCTTCAGAGATGGAGCATGGTGACAATTTGAGGCCTGGACAAATTCGCATATGAAAAGAGAGTGAAAAGATGAGGGCTGTTCACTTTGAAGAGGAACTTTCTAAGAGTGCACCCAATTATTTATTTATTTATATGGAATACAGCAACCAATAAACAACCAGAACAACCTATAAAAAAATGGCACTGAGGAATAAGGCGAGAGTGACAGTTTTAGATTTGATATCCATTGCAAAGCATTGTCAGTAGCCTGGTGCTGGTCTTTAATGCAACCATTAAAATGATGACTAGGACATTCCTCCATGAAGTGTGCTATAGTTTGGATTTCTCCACACTCACACTTGAGATCTTTAATAAAGTTCCATTTATGTAGTAGGTAGTTGCATCTGCCTTGTCCAGTACAAACCCTGTTCAACATCCAGTGCCACCTTGGTAAAGCAAAGCCAGGGAGTTTAGATGTGGGGTCCATGATAAGAAATTTATTAATGATGTCAATTGTGTTCCTTTGCTGGATCCATTTTTCTTTGATGTCAAATTTTTCATCAGTCTTCTCTTTTTCTGCACTCCAAAATGGCTTTCTTGATGTAAGCCTTGGCCTAGGTGGGTCATTCAGTTCCTCAGAAATTGATTGTGAATTGATTGTAAGCAGTTTTTTTTGTAGTCTCTTAAAGCAGCCTGTTTACATCAGGAGGTGGGATGTGAGAGAACAGAGAGCCAAGGAATAGGAGTGGATCCGCAAGTACCTGTTATGAGTCTCTTTGTTTTATTCAGCCAAAAGTAGATCAGGTTGGTACAGGCGCTGCTGCGCCAAATTGGGGCACAATACTCAGCCGCTGAATAAACAAGGACCAGCACTGATGTTCTGAGAGCTTCAGCATCACTTCCCCAACTTGTACCAGCCAGTTTTGAGATGATGTTATTATGTGTGACAAGGTTGTTATTTGTACATGATGCTTGTAGGTGAGACTATGGTTGAGGTGGATTCCTAAATATTTGGGGTTGAGTTCATCATTGACCCAATTGTAAAGGTCAAAAAAAAAAAAAAAAAGGAATGGTCTACAGAAGATAGCTAGGCAGACCTGAATACTATTCTCAAAACACAAT